ATATACATATATATAAGTTAGAAAATGGCTCGTGAGATTCGTTTTATTCATCGATCTCTATTAAATGGTTTATTTCAAATTTTTCGTTATAGTCCTTTTTTTGCGCTAGTTACATTTTTAATTATTATTGTTATTTCATCTGTGATACCGTTATCATTTATTTGGTTAATACAATGTCTTTTTTTTAAGACATTTCTTATTTCATTTGACACATCTTTTTTACATGCAATACTTACATTATGGTCATTGGTAGAAGTCATATTTTTTTTCTATCAATGTTATCTTTTCTTTAAAATTCAACCTCAAACATCACCACCACCTATAACATCAAAAGAACGTCAACAACTTGTTTCCTATGCACTTAAAAATATAAAACATGTACCGAGTACATTAAGTAAATGGTTTATGGATTGTCCTTTCCAAGATATTGATCGAGAAAGTATAGTCGGATGGCTTGCATTTGCATTTTATTCTAAAAATTCTAATGAATTAGAAGATAATGAATATAGAGAAATTGATTTATTTATTGAAAAAGTTGAAGCTCAAACTCAAGTAAAAACAACTACAATTAAATCAAATAAAAATATATCCTATATGAAACATATACTTGATCCTGTTCGTGTGATTTTTCGTCCATTTATATTTTATTTTATTACTGATACAATAATGAATGGAATAGTTGCTAGAATAAATTTTTATTTCAAAGGATACCAATTTGTTCAGATAGGTCATTTACAATTTTGGACATGCTATAATAAATCGCGTAATGAAGAAGAAGAAGAAGAACCAATTATTTTCTTTCATGGACTTGGTGCTGGTCTTCTTATATATCAACCATTTATTGCATCTTTACATAAGAGATTTTCTCATAATCGTCGTATTATATTAATATCAATGAGATGTGTTACTATGCGTTATCCATCTCTCAAAGATATTCCTAATATGTCTGAAACAACTGAATCAATAAAATTAATTTTTGATCATTATAAAATGAAAAAAGCTATTTTCATTGGTCATAGGTTAGTTTAATTATTTATTACATCAATTGTATTATTATATTTTATTTTCATCTAGTTATGGCACGGCATGTCTTTCATGGATTGTTCAAAAATGTCCACAGTATATATCACGTCTGATATTTATTGATCCGATTTGTTTTGCTCTTTTTGAACCTTATGTTGTTTATAATTTTGTTTATCGTACACCATATAAATTAGGTCATCTCTATATGTATTATTTTGTGTGTCGTGAAATGGGTATATCGCATGTAATTGGTCGTCATTTTTGGTGGACACAAAATAATTTATATATTGAACAAATACGTTCATGTTCAAACAAACAACTTCCAACACATGTTTTATTATCTGGTCGTGATTGTATTATCAATGCACCTTTAATTCGAGATTATTTAAATGATAATAATATTGATAATTATTGGGCAACGAATCTTTCTCATGGTGATTATATGCACGATAAAGATAGTTGGAAAAAAATATGTGAATGGATCTCGTGATAACTAAAGATTTTCTTTTTAATCTATTAAAAGTAATTATTTTGCGTAATTTACAATAATAATAATAATAATAATTTGTTTGTCTTTTTTTTTGTATATTTTTTTACACAAAAAAAAATAGATTTTTTATTACTTTGACTACGCTACATTCTTTTTTTATGTCTGTTAATTCATATTGGAATGTATGATTAAACATGTCTATGATTTTTCACTATATATATATTGATCTTTCAATGATTTTCTTGTTTATACAAGATAGATAATTGTTAAGCTTATCATAGATGCCTTAAAAATAATCTCGAACTTATTCATTAATAGTAGAATTGATGTTATTATTAATTTCTCTGAAAAATAATTAATATTAATCTCGTAAATGAAACTGTCAACGTACTCCTGCATTTAATCAATTATATCCAGGTAGTTTTATTTTGTTTATTATTCAATATCATCACAATAATTAAATACTCATTATATTATTTCGAAAGATATCCTTTTCTTTAATCTCATTATCTAGTTTAATATGCTTGTATCCATTAATATTAATAGATACCTATCATATGAGATATATAATACAGATAACATCCATTATTTTTTGTCATATACACAATATGATACTAATCATAATCATATATATTCTGACACTAAGCCTATATTTATTCATTATATAGAATGATTTAGCATAAAAAACATACCTTTCAAGGGAATACATATTTTTTGTTTTTGTTATGATGATTACATAGATGAGAATCATATTAATATGTATATATTTATTCTTTTGCATATAAGATTCGTGCAAATATACAAAAGAAAAACAGAACCAAGAGCAGAAAAAAGCATATGAATAATCAGAAAGCAATCACAGACAAAAAAGACATATTACATGTTAGAGTCATTAACACGCTGTCATTTCGCGTCAAGAGTTACTTCATTTTTATCTTCATGGTTAAACAAGCATCACTTTGGGCATGATTGACAATGTCATACGTCGAATGGTGATGGTACAGTAGGATACTCAAATATTCCTCCAGCAATAGCACTACCTCGTGAAACATATAATGAAGCAAACTTACGATGTCCATTTTTAGCACTATGACGACGTGAAAGTACTGTTGAAATATAGACAAGAATCCAAACTGTTATAATCAGAGATATTAAACCAATAAAAGGCCATATAGCAAATCGAAGTGTAAATGAACTTTTACTATTCACTTGTAAGGGTAATGATTCACTAGAATTTGTTATGAAGACATCCTATTGATTACATACAAAAAACAAAGTTAGATTAATTTTTATTTTTAGAACAATTGATTTTTTTTACCCATGGTAAGTAGATTTGGTTAGTATCTGTTGTAACAATAATAAAGGCCATTTCTTTCTTCTATAAACAAAAATTTATCTATAGTTCTGACAACGATCTTGTGTGTGTATATATATTTTTTTTTCTTATAGCTCTATCTTTTTTTTTCTCTTTTGTAGTCAACTCAATGCGTTATATTCTCTATCTCTTTTTTTTTCTTATTTTTGTCTGTCCTACTTGTTGTTATAATATAATAAAATATGTTCAATAAATAGGTCATTTCTATATAAAAACTTATTTTATTATTCAATAACATGGCAATAAAAGAAATATATTACTGTCTGCCTTCATTGAACAAATTAATGTAACTCTAGTATATAATAATAATAAAAGGAAAATGAATATCAATTAATTCATGTCAATAAATTTACTGATTATTTTATTTTATTTTTTCCTTGATTAAAACAAAATCTTCAGAATCGTCTATGAACACAAGTGTCATGTATGAAAAGTCAAAATAGATTAATGTTTTTTGTTTTATAATTTTTTTATTAATTTGATTTGATTTTGGTTTGAATCCAATTTAAATATGTACTTGTACGTGTATAAACACCTGGATAATTTGAAAGGCCACAATCAGCACCGAAACTTACAACACCTGATAAATACCATTGACCATTGCTACTATACATTAAAGGACCACCACTATCACCTTGACAACTATCTTTACCACCAACATATGGCATACCAGCACCTATTTGTCGTTGAGCATTAAAATAAGCTGGATATGCTGCTTGTGCTTGTGCATTTGTAACTTTAACAGTAACTTGTCGAAGAGCATTTGGTAATTGACTACCTTTATGTACAGATCCCCAGCCTGCTACAGTTACTGGTGTTGATTCTTGTGGATCAGGTCCTGGTAAACAAATTAAACTAACATAATTATTTAATTGAACTGGTTCAGAAAGACGAAGAATAGCGATATCATGAGCTTGTGTAACTGCATTATATTGTTCATGCATAAATATACGTGTTACACCAATATTTTGTGTACGTCCTGTATTCTTATTTAATCGTTCATGTAAACCAGCAACGACTCGAAGTTGACTGGTCATAGCTGATGTCAAACAATGAGCAGCTGTAAGTACGTGACGTGTATCGATCAAGGTACCACCACAAAAATGATCACGTACTTGTAATGAAACAATCCATGGCCATGAATTTGGAGTAGCTTCAATTCCACCAACAATACGTTGAGTTGATGGTGTAACAGATTGACGACCACAACTGTTTACTGTTGGTATTGACGCTGGTGTTGTTACTGTTGCTACTGATGTTTGTCCGATACTTGTCTTTAAACAGCAATAACGTACTTTATAATCTGTACATAATTTCTGTTTATATCCTTCAACTTGTTGATTTAAACATAAAAGTCCATCTTTAAGAGTAATACGAAATAAATCACCTGTTTGAGCTGGACTTTCACCTTTTACAGTTTGAACCTAAATAATTAAAAATGATTTTCTAATTATATAAATTCTCTATGATTATTACTTCAATAGCAATCGGTGATGGGCACATAAATGCCGGATAACTTTGTTGAATATGATTAGTAATTTCAAATTCACCAACGGCACTATTTGGATCACTTGAATCAAACCAAACTGTCCATTGATTATTACCTGAACAACTAGATTCAGTATATATAGCAGGATCAAATATGCCTTGTGTGAATACACCAATGTTCAATTGCAATAATAATAGAACAATGATAAACATGCTTGTAAATACAGGACAATTTTTAAAATATATGTTGATAACTAATACTTTTTACAAAAATAAAACAAAAATATACGGTATATGTAGTGATTGAAATTCGATATGATTCAACAAGAAATATTTATTCATTTTAATCGATCAAAAATATTATGAAAAATGATCCAAGGTCAATCGAAAGATTTTAAAAAGAATGATTAAAATTTATATAGTGCATCATATATTTACTTATATATAATAATAGGATTTAAAATTAATCTTACGGATAAAAATAGATACATATGAAATAATTCATTTGTATTTTACAAGTAAAAATGATGAAGGTCTCAAGACTTCAGCTATCTACGTTAAAAAGTTATCCACATTTTACTCGATAGTTCTTTTTGTTTTCATATTAAATAATTTTACAAGTCGATCTATTAAATTTGTAAAATAATCTTGTACCCATATCAATGTGTTATGTGATAACATGAAAAATGTTTCTTCTTCGGTTTACATATTCCAGTTGTTCATAGATTTATTCTCACGATTGTTATTATCTTGTTTTGTATTAACAATTATGTAAATATTCTTCAGTCCCTCCTTTTGTTCTATATCATCATTATGAACAGAGTAAAAACAGATACAATGACAATTAAAGATCAGCAGACTTTATCCATATATATGTAGTGTACTAGAATTATAAACAAAATAAACGACAAAATTAGAATAACGATCTCTTCGTGATCAATTATTGTGTACGTTCCTTCTTGAGTCAATCATCATAAGGAAACGTACAATCATTAGTTGTTGACATTCATAATAAAGTATATATGACATTTTCTATTCAAGTATATTCTTCACCTGAAAGTGACAGACAGATTATTTCTTTCTTGAAGACACAAAAAGAAATAATCACTAACTTTTTCTATCAAAATATATTGGCATAATTATCTATGATAAAATATTGAAGAGAAGAGAATAGATCATTAATGACCTTTGGGAAATGGATCATTCTTCGTTACTAATGAACAAACTATCTTTATATCAAACATATTGCTATCATCTTCTTTTCTTTCTTTTATTATTAATATAAGTCGCATATATATATATTCTAATAGCATTACTATAGTAAATGATGATAAAGAATAATAATAATAATAATAATAAGCAGAAGATAATTATTGTCGACCATGCACATCAATTAAGAATCGCAATAGCCGATATCGACAGACAATGATGAGAGAAACAAAAATGATCGGTATTCAGACAATATGGAAGAAAGAATTTATCTTCAAAGTCATAGTAAACAATAAAAAGCTAAAACTGTCGTTTCTTATCAATAGTGGCATGTGTGATAATCTAAGTATTAGGAAGAAAATCATGTCCAAATGTCGTATGTCATCGGTTCTTTGTCTTCTTTATTTCTTTCTCAAGGTCTTACTATTGTTAACATACTTTTGTTTCTGGAAATTTTCATCATTATGAAAAATAACTTGATATAACAAGCCAGAAATCAAATCATAACTATATATACTTATATCCGCCTCAACAGGGACTTCTTGTTTTATTATTATTGATATCAATTCTCTTGTCGTAGGAATATATATACATTTCGTCTCCTCATATATATGTGTTAGAGACTAAGAGAGCGAGACGACGACGAAGAAGAGAGAGAGACAGAGAGAGAGAAAAAATCGACACATACATATAGAGTTGAACAAACATTTTCTCGCCTTATTATCCGTGTTGATAATCTGATTCATACAAACACTGCCAATTATTATCAACACTAACTAGTAAGTATTCGTTGTTAAATTATTCTTTGATTCTACACCTGATAATTTTCAATTAACTATTGAGATCATCGACACACTTTTCAGGACATTGCTTTAAAATTAGCACGAAAGTATAGAATTCTACGGATATATGTTTATCTTTGATTAACACATTACTGTCAGTGAAAATAGAAATTTAATACTTAACATACATTTTATGAGCAAGAAGATATATATGTATGCATATCCGAAAGATAATTATCATAGAATATGAATATTTTTATTTTTAATAAAATAAAAAAACAGAAAGGTGTGAATCTTATTGTTATTCTTTTCTTTCATCTAAACTAGAAAAGAAAAAAAAAAAAAAGCTGAGAATGTACAAGTCAATAATCAAATTGAAAAGTGCGAATAATCTATATTTATCCATATATATATATATAATTGAGTCGACATGATATATGAAATAAGATTAATATGTAAATGAGTATGAACTTTTGTCTTATGTTATTCTTTCCTTGGAACTGAAGTTTTCTTTTTCTATGTCGTAATGATGATCAAACGATTCTTTTCTTTTTCCATTCATACACATGTACATATACATATATATTGAAAAATCTCTGTATACTCTCATAGATAGAATAAATGTTTGTTTTCATATATATAGTTTAAGAAAAAGGCACGTATATTAAAGGTAAGTTGATGGGTGTATGATATCTCTTCTAAATGATACTATATAGATATGTCATTAGCAATTCTTTGTTATGATATGTATATATATATGTCATGAGAACAAACGCTAACAAACAGAAAAAAAAGCAAAAAAGGTGTTAACATACTCTTTGAATGAGAATGTGTGTGTGTGTGTAAGTTTGTAAAAGATAAAAAGAATAAAGCGGTCATAATCAATATAACTTTGCGTAATCTTTTCTAACTTTATTCATTTTGATGACAAACAAAAAATCAAAAATGACAGATTGATATGATTAGTATTCAGTGGTGACCTTGATCAAATACAATTGTTTGTTATATCTTTACTGTTCATATACATATGTAGTTGACGATCGGCATCTATCTTTATATATATGATCGATGAATATCAGATTAGATAGAACAGCTTGTTCATATCATATCCTTTTATTCTCTCTTTGTATTTATTGTAGAATAAACGATGATGATTATAAGTATTCTTTTGTATTCATTGTTTTACTCATGTCAAATGATCGATGGGAAGACTAGACATAATCTTTGGTGGTAAGTTAAACATATATATATAGATGAATTGATAATAATTAATTGTTAAATACGTATATATTTAAATAGGAATATTGGTTTTGAAGGACAAAATGAAAATCTATTATCATCATATACATTTTTTAATTCGGGAAATCAATATGAAATAAATGAAGATTCATCACAATATTGTCAATCAACATTACAAAGTTTAACTACAGGACAAAAACAAATATGTTTATTACATGCAGATCATATGCCTATTGTTATACAAGGTATTTATTTTTAATTAGCAAAAATGGGTAATATATTTTTTTTTGTAATAGGTGCAAGTAAAAGTATTGAAGAATGTCAATATCAATTTCAAGATCGTCATTGGAATTGTTCAACAATACAAGATGGTTCTGTTTTTGGACCGGTTATTAATCATGGTAAATTATGAAATTTCGATTATATATTTTTAAATTATGTATATATAGCTAATCGAGAAACAGCATTAACACATGCAATGTTTTCAGCAGGTATAACATATGCTATTAGTCGAGCATGTAAACAAGGCTTTTTGAAATCATGTTCATGTAGTCGAGCAACTCGACCGAAGAATTTACCACGTGATTGGTCATGGGGAGGGTTTGTAAAATTAAATTTGTTTTTTTAATTATTAAATTTTTGTATTTGAAAAATAGATGTGGTGATAATATTGATTATGGTTATCGATTTAGTCGAGATTTTGTTGATACACCTGAAAAAGAAATTGATTCAACAGCTATGTATAATTCATTTATAAATACAAATGAAACGGTTTTTGGAGGAGGAGGAGTAGTAGGTGGAAGAAAAAAAAAACTTTTAAGACGTGGACGAATACGACGTCATATGAATGTACATAATAATGAAGTTGGACGAAGAGTAAGTTTTTCTTCTAAAAAAACAAAACGAACTATTATTCATATATATATTTTCAAAGGCGGTTTATCGATTAACACGTGTCGTTTGTAAATGTCATGGAGTTAGTGGTTCTTGCAGTCTTCGAACATGTTATCAACAATTACCAACATTTCATGAAATAGGAGCATTTTTAAAAGAAAAATATGATAGTGCAATTGAAGTACGTTATCAACGTCGTTTTGGTGAATTACGTTCACGTGATCGACGTTTTGTTGGACCAACGAAAGATGATTTAATTTATTTTGAAGAATCAAATTTTTGTGAATCTAATTCACGTATTGGTTCACTAGGTACAAAAGATCGTCCGTGTAATCGAACAAGTCATGGACCTGATGGTTGTACAACAATGTGTTGTGGACGTGGATATAATACAATACGAAAATATATACAAGAAAAATGTAATTGTAAATTTATTTGGTGTTGTTCTGTACATTGTGAAACATGCCGTAGACTTGTAGAAATTCATGTATGCAAATAGATTATTTCGTGCTGATATTTTTAGTATGAAAATGTATTTGTTTTTTTTCTTATTCGCTATTATTATTTTAATATATATATATATAAGAAATTTATTACAACTCGTTGATGTATAATTACCCAATGATAAATTTCTCCTTTATTATTTCTATACTTATCTTTTTTTGGTAATAAACAGATGTTTACAAAATTGACATGAATAATGACAAGTATTATTATTATAGACACCTTGAAAAGAATCAGAAGTCTCATTGAATTTAAATCTATTTTATTTTTTTGTCAATAATAAAGAATATTAGTTTGTTGTTTAATCATTAACTACATGCTGCAATAGAATGTTCAAATGTCATCATAATTTGTTTTTAATCTTATATTACAACTGATAAACGACAATTATATATTTGATCTGTACAAGTAACTATTGAATTTCGTCTGTTCTTTAATATACTATAGATATCTGGACCAGAGTACTTTTTTTGTCTATTCCTTTGATACATTTCTAGTAGTGACTTATTTATCTCGATATTTTGTTATTTTCTTTTTGTTTATTAGACACATCCCGGGAGATAATGGAGTAGCTATAATATAGACTGATTTTAGTTAGGAGTGTTTATCAACTCCATAGGGAACAATAAACTTTTATATAAAAAAAATATATAAGACCTTTGCTTGTCTTGATATCTTTTATTCATTTTATCTGATGTATCTAATAAAAATTACATAAAATATACAAATACTAATAGAAAAGTATTATAAAAATCATCTAGTATTGAACGATTTATCATGCCAATTATTTATAACATTCATATTATAATAAAACTAGTGATTTTCATCTATTGGTGATATTTTTTAAAACTTTTCAAACCAGATAAAAAAATTTCGAAATTAAGTAATTCAGTTTAACACTTGCTGTTATTTATTGGCATGTATATATATGCTGACACATGCTGTGGGAAGATGATCTTATATAAAATTCATTACATTTGTAGTAATTTTCATCAGATTATGTTGTCTATGAGTTAATGCATCGAATATCATTCTGATACAAATAAGAAACATCACTGCGTGTGCATTTTACTAGATAGAGATTGTTAACTATTGAACAATATAATGTAATCTAAACACATACATTCATCAAATAGAATTTATGCTGATCTCATTTTATTATTGATAATTATTTTCTTGAATAAAATATCATCAGCCATTGAAAAATGAATATATGATCTCTTAAAATTGATTGTATTACAACATCATTAATTACCCATTGACTAACATTGATGATGAAGAACTAGAAATGCTATGATTGCATGAAACCACCAGTATTATCCTAGATCGATAAAGCAATAAATTGATGGTACAATGGTATTAATAATACGATGAAACAGAGGATATAATCACGATTATATTTTACTATGATTATTAAATTTGATGATGTAGAAAACTGTCTTTTCGTTCTATATGCACTCTATTGACACTGCATGTGGCTAATACTAACGATTGTATATACTGTCGTTTACCGTATAATATGCATGTAAACTTCTTTTCCTTGATAAAGAGAAAAAAAATAATTTATTAATTTAACAAATACTTACCCTTGACCTTATTCATGATATAAATCTGTCTATTTATGTATATTTACACTTATATCTATTTTTAGACTTAATATAAATAAATGAAATATTTCATTTATTTATATTAATGTTTATCTTATGCTTATTACTGAAATTAATCGTTCTAAAGAAAATATTTATTTATTTATGAAAAAAAAACGATTGATCCTTGAATATATAATTAAAATCAGTCTATATACAAAGTATGTGTTCATTTTCTATGAATTGCTAACTACATGTATCTAAATCTGCAATAAGACTATGCTAACTAAAATGTTAAAGAAATATTCATTTTGTGATCCTCTCAGTTGTTAAAATTAGAATCAATGACTATCACTTTCTTGAAAGTATTCCATAACCCCCAAAACTATATATATAAATAATTCTGTCGTCAAAATCTACTCGCATAACATATCTAATTATGTTTTATATAAATATAAACATGATAACATACGTTTTTCCAAATATACATATTGTCTACAGAATGGACTAATGTGTATATCGATGGTAATGCTGATAACATATGACAATAACTGCCTTGTATAGCTGATTATCGATAAACATATTTCTACACTAGACTATCATTACAGTCTGATTTTATAATCATATTTAATACTAAATATTTATTGATGTTAATCATAAGATAATCATAGTAGTTCATATAGAAACTAATGTGTTTTCTAGGTAAATAATTAAATTTGAATATATGTATTATCTAACAGTATGTTAATCCGATAATTTATATTCCTGATTGAATTATTATTATTGTAGTTCTTATCAAAAGAGTGCAGTCAACTGAGTTAATAAGTTGTCAGTAAATTAATAATATCTGGAAGCAATATTTTTGTTAGATCAATGATACTGATATAGTTTATTACTATCATGTAAATGTCATATAAAAATAGTTTAGCAACACGCTAAGAATAGTATTAGAATTATTGATG